GGGAACCTGAAATGACCCTATCCCATAGCAATACTGACGAATATCTTGCATATCATCATAGAACCTTCATCTGGTGATGGATGGAGATAGAGACAGAGACCCACACTGGAGCACTGGACTGAGCTCCCAAGGTCCCAAGGAGGAGCAGAAGGAGGGAGAACATGAGCAAAGAAGTTGGGACCACGAGAGGTGCACCCACCCACTGAGACAGTGGGGCTGATCTATTGGGAGCTCACCAAGGCCAGCTGGACTGTGACTGAAAAAGCATGGGATAAAACTGGACTCTCTGAACATGGTGAACAATGAGGGCTGATGAGAAGCCAAGGACAATAGCATGGGGTTTTGATCCTACCTAATGTGCTTGCTTTGTGGGAGCCTAGCCAGTTTGGATGTTCACCTTCCTAGAAATGGACGGAGGGGGGAGGACCTAGGACTTCCCACAGGGCAGGGAACCCTGACTGCTCTTTGGACTGGAGAGGGAGGGGGAGAGGAGTGGGGGGAGGGGGCTAAGGGTGGGAGGAGGGGGAGAAGTGTGGGAGGAGGGGGAGGGAAATGGGAAGGTGGGAGGAGGTGGAAACTTGTTTTTTTTTCTCCTTTTCTCAATAAAAAAAGTTAAAAAAAAGGACTACACATTATACAACAACAAATTCCAATAATGATTTATATCTATGTAATGTGGGTATAAATCTGTAATAAAAAAGATAAAACAAGATAATAGGAAAACTTGTGTTATGAGATAGTTTGAGACACAAAGATGGTATCGTGAAAACAGCAGGATATTTCTGATAAATTCCTAATAGCTTTATTAGTATTTATATAATAATTTGTACAAATAATTTTGTTTGAGGGACATTATTAACAAATACCAAAAATGTTTTTACTGTAAATTAATGTAAGTTCTAAGAAGCTCAAGAGCATTTGTGGAAAAACTAAAGGGATGAGGAGACAGTGAGATGGCACAGTTAGCAATGGTGGCCTGAGCCTGGTCCTGACTCCTCTGACTTCCACATATACACCATGGCATACACATTCTCCTCATGTGCACAAACACACAGAATAAACATATCAATGTCATTTTTTGATTAAAAAAAGATAAAATGAGGGCATCATTTTTTAAATTAAGAAATTAAGCACACTGCTAAAGCATAAGAAATAAAACAGAAAGATTATTAATTCATTAACACTGAAGGTTACATAACCATCAGTGTGGACTTTTCATCTAGAAAAGGCTAAAATATTATAGTTATGACTTTCACAATTATCAGATATAAACAATATGTAACTTGCTTAAAATATATTTATAATTCCTATAAATACATTTATAAATAAGAGCACACATGGTTATGCATGGTGATGCATGCTTGTAATGCTTACAATCAGGTAGCTCTAGGCCAGTGTTGGGTATATGAGACATTTTTTTAGAACAAATAAAGGACACATATTTAAAACTGAAATGCTATGGAAGACTGGACTATAGAAGCTCTAATGAATGCAACCTAAAGCTACATCACAGTGTTTTTATTCTTGTATGTTCTCATTTCTTAACACCTCTTAAAGTTCTAGACATCCCATGTTTACCTAGTTTGCCCTACTCATATTTGTATTTTATGCGCCTTCACAGAGTTACCTGAAATGGTGGTTTGCATGAGATTCTGAAAGCTTGAGAAATAATGCCAAGACAACAAGGCCAAAGTCTTGTAACCTCTGTTTCTCTATAACAGACACCTCATTTGCCCCCTCCCAGGTATAGTAAATAGAAGTGTGTTTGCTTTAGATTACCCATAACTTATCATCCATTACTATTTAGACTGATGTTTCCAAACAGAGGTAAAACCTTGTGACTGTCAAAAGCCTAAACGCGTGCAACCTTTGCTCATTTGACCTTGTTTAATTCTGAGAATATAAAGAGTCTGATGCTTTGAATAAAATTAGCTATTGCATGAAACTTTAGTCTATCTCATTTTAGGGCTTCACTCTCCCATATTCCTGCTGCCTACTATAGCAGCAACAGTGACATGCACCTATAGTCCTAGATACTTGGGAGGCTAAGGCAGGAAAACTGCTTAAATCCAGAAGCCTGAGGGTTAAGAAAAGGCCCAATATCTGTATAATTTTTCTAAGGTATGAGAACAGTGGAACTGTGCAGTAAGTGTTATAATATTATAGTTTATCACACAAATCTCGTTTTTTACTTCCTATAAACTTAGTCACATTCTGTGTGGGTATAAAAGGAAAATATTTTGTTCCATAATTAGTCTTCAATGTCATACAATAATGACTATATGAAGCCAAAAGAGAAACAAGGCATGGTGGTAGAATTAATGAATGAGGATAGTATTCAGCCTGTAATTTTGTATCTTTTCACTTGCATCAAGATAAATTTGGGACAATTAAAATAGTTAATTCTATAACCCTCTCTACCATTTGGATTTGCAAGTCTCCAAAAAGTAACATATAGAAATTCTAATTTCTTTTGCACTGTTTAATAAATATTTGACAAAAAACATATGGCAGCACAATCCATAAAAAATAAGGTAATTTCAATATTATATTATCAGAAGCTGTGAATATATCATTCTTCAAATTTATTTTAAGTTAAATAGATTCAAGACCATTCTAAGACTTAATTACACATTTATTATCAGTCAGGTAATATAATATTCTTGGATTTTCTTGTATAAAAGTAAATAACTGAGGATAATTTTAGAGAGATTAGAATAAAGAAATGCACATAAAGGATGACTGAAGCAAAACATATCCAAAAACTTAGTGAACATTATTTTTTAATGCTATGTTAAAATTGCAATAACAAGGCCAGGTGGTGGTGGCACACGCCTTTAATCCCAGCACTGGGAAGGCAGTGACAGGCGGATCTCTGTGAGTTCAAGGCCAGCTTGGTCTAAAGAGCTAGTGCCAGGATAGGCTCCAAAGCTACAGAGAAACCCTGTCTTGAAAAACCTAAAAAATAAAATAAAATAAAAATGCAATAACCAGTGATTTTTCTTAGAAAATCAGGACTCTTATGTAATGTGATTAAATTATGAAAGCACAGCCCCATAAATTCTATTATTTCTTAAAATATTTGCATGGTTACTTCAAGCTTTATGATTCCATTTTAAAATGACTATCTTGTATGTAGATTGATAGCATATTTTGACAGAATCTGAAAATTTAAAGACTAATGTATTTCATTTCTAGGAACTTAGAAATAATTACTAACTTTCGGCAGGGTCTTCAGCACTTGATAAAATATTTCAAAGCACTCCAAACACACAAGTGCGAGCCAAGGATAGTTCAAATAAATGCCAGTTGTGGAGAAGTGCTCTCCACATGCCCACCTGAAAAATTCTCACTATTACAATAAACAAAGTGTCTTATTGCAGTGGAAGTCTGCTAGGATAAAAAAGCAGCAGTGTACTGTATTGTACTGTGTACATATATTCATTAAAATGATGGCCTAACCATTAATCCTAAAATGTTTATCTAACAATTAATCTAAACATGCATATACTGTGTGCTAATTTATTTTAATTATTTTGGTGCTCTTTTGGGACACATTCATTCCTAAACTTTTTCTAGTAAGTTTCTATAAAAAAAAAACAAAGAGAAAAATTATACAAAATTAAGCCAAGATTAAAAATTTTCCCATTAAAATAAGTAGTTAATATATTATTATTTGCATTAAAGATAACTATTTAGAAAATTTATGGTGACTATATAGATTATATTTAGCAGAAGATACCACATTTCAAATATTCTGGTTTCCTAACCTATTAAAAAGAAAGCCTAGAAATACTTTTTTTATGTACAAGGTAGTATCTCATACACATGAGGGCAGTCCAAATAAAATAACCTCTTTGGGAATATGTACCCCAGATTTATTTCTGAAAAGCATAGCTTCTACCCAGTATAATTGAGTAAAAATGGTATATTCATTATAAGTGTCATTAAAGTACAGAATAAATCACTCACACATTCCTAATTTGCTACAAACCAAATCATATCATCAAGAGCTTATAAAAGCAAAATTGTATCTATACCCCAATCGCATCTAAAGCGAAATTCATAAAAATTAAAAGAGTAGTTCATCGATAGTTACTTTTATATATTTTCATTTTCAGAAAATATTTTCATAACATCTAACTTAAAATATATTTACATACAACATACATTAGCTGCTTAAAATGATCAATTATTTGATATAAATATAAAATATATATGAGATAAGAATTCACTTTCAGATTATCTGATCATACTTTTCTGATTTGGCAAAATCATTTTTTTTCAAAATGAGTTTTAGATATTTGGATTAGTATATAACAACTGCCATTGATGATCAACATCTACAACATGTTAAAAACAATTCCTGACTTATAAACACATGTTATAAAGAAATTTATGTAGCCAGTGCAATCCCTGATTGACTTCACCAATCTTGTCTTACTGCTTCAGGATGTACTAATATCAGAGAGCTCCTAAAGTACAATCTGTAGTCCTGAACTTTCCAGCCTCATCTTCTCTTAACTCTTCGTTCCCAAGGAACAACAGATGATTTAACAGGCAAAAACAATGTTTCTATTTAAAAACAAATCAAAAGTGAATCTAAAGATGTATCTTAGTCCTAAAATGTATGATTCTTAGCAAGGCATATTGACACACATCTGTGATCCCAGCCATCAGGAGACAAAGGAAGACTTTGCTGTGTGTTGCAGCTTTAGTGAGTAATAGCTATATAGTAAAACCCTCTTTAAAAATCATACAAGTTCTATATTAGTATATAGCCTAAAAGAACAGACTACTCTGATTAGAAGATATATGTTTGATTTAGATGCTAGTAATTACCTGACTTTATATTATAAATTATAATTCAAATTTTAAAAGAGCTTTGTTGTTATAAAAAATGGCATCTGCTTTTTCCTGTGTTCACCAAGATATTTGCCATCATATAGACTTAATTTAAGCAAGACAATCAACAGGAAACAGTAAAACCTAAAGAATACCTCAGGTGCTACAAAGTTTGCAGTGTAGCACGGAGTTAACAGAAGTCCATTTTCTCCTCGAAGCTGTTTTGCAAACCCAAAATCACAGATCTTAATTGAATCTGCATTGGCTGATTCATCCATGTACAAAATATTACTGGGCTTAAGATCACGATGAACAACCTTGAATATAAAAGAAAACAGCATTATAATTGTATAACTAATTTTTTGTTAAAACATTTAATATGTTTATAGAAAAAAAATTTCCCATTTTATTCCCAACCTATGGCATCAAAAATAACGAGAAAAGTATTCTGCGAGGTAGACATTACACTATCTGCCAGTATTTCTATCTTCAATTGGTTCTACTTTTAGATATAATAGTCTAAAGTTTCACCCAGTGCCCCACATCCACTTCGACTATTAACTCTTGATATAGTACACAAGTTAAGAGCCTTCAGACTCAAGAGAATTTAGAAAAGTAAAGAAACAGTGTTGAGTAACACATTTGGCTGAAGGATGAACCAGAGTTGTGGGTAGGTTCCCATATCTGTGGCTATTACACTAAGAACTAAGAGCAGTCTCTATTATACACCTTCATTTGGAAAAAAATAAATACTTCTGTTTGAGAAGAGCAGAAAAGAGACAGCAGAAGAACATAAAAACAAAGCTGAGACAACTATACAGCAAAGAACCAGCACTGACACATAAAATTAAGATTTTATATGAAAGCAAAGGATATGAAGACATCAAAGCTAGTACACTAAACAAGAGATTTCAATTCAAACTCAGCCAACATTATACTTAAAGCAAAATAATAACCACTGGAGGAGAGTAACAAAATATAAATATTTTCATAACTTTATATCACCATAGGATACAATTACAAACCATCTGATTTACATAAACAAGACAAGTAGAACATAGCCACAAGAAAAAAAAATAATCTAGGTCTGATTCTCAGAAGAACCAAGTTAGAATCTGTAGAATTAAGTGGTTATAAAGATTCTCAACAAAATAAAACATACTTACAACGTATGAAATTCGCAAGAAAAAATGCAAACTCAGTAGAAAAAATGAAGAAGGCTCAAATAATTGGCAAAAGTTTAAATTCTGAATGTGATGATTTTTTTTCTTCTACAATTCATTCAATCTAGTTTTAGGATTCATACATATTGTATCATATGGAGATATAAAGTTATGAAGATATTTATATTCTGTTACTATTCTCCAGTGGTTATTATTTTGTTTTAAGTATAATTTTTGGCTGAGTTTAAACTGAAAATCTCTTGTTTGGTATACTAGGTCTGATAAGTTCATATCCTTCATTTAGCAATGTACAACAATGTATGCTTTTTAGTGACAAGGGCAAAATCTCACTTAGTGTTTAAATCTTAAAAGCCCTTTGCTTACAATATCTATCATATATAAATATTCAAAATATCTGCTATTTAGGTGTTCTATAAACAAGATTTATAAAAAACTAAACAGCAGATGTTTATCATATTGTATTTTTAAAATTCTGGTTTATCATGCCTTACTAAAATTGTTATCCTTTAAAATTCTTGCAAAGAAATTGGACGGATTAAATCATACTAAAATTATTGTGTTCCTTTAGTGCTGCACAATTTATTTCCAACTACTGAAGTCTTCTTAGGTCACATATAAAATTTTTTATTATTTATAAGTGGGGCTACATACAATTTCTACTATATGAATTCTAAAAAGCAGTTTGCATTTTAATTTCATTTTTTTATTTTAACACATCTACCTTACATATATATGAAATGACAAAAAGAAATATACAAGTCTTCTCCAAAAGATTTAACATATTGATAGTTCAATGTTTAGAATAAAAGCTTATTGTCATATTTAGGGCATTTGGTCAGAGTCAACAGAGAGTCGTTTTGGTGCTAGAATATAATAGTTATAGACTAACTCCAATAATACTTTATATGCCTGTAAATATTTTTCTAGTTAGCTTTTAGATGTCTAGGTTTGATGGAACTCATTATTTAGTTCAGGATGGCCTCAAATTTTAATTATTTTTTTTTTTTTTTTTGCCTCAGCCATCCATGTGCTGAACTTATAGTGGCGAGCCACTAAAACCCATTTGGATATTTCTTTGATGACTCACACTATAAAGTTTGATTAGGCTTGATAATACACATGCATGCGCGCACACACACACACACACCTCTAACCTTGTCCTATCAATTATCAAGCCCTGTGTATGTGTGTGTGTGTGTGTGTGTGTGTGTGTGTGTGTAGATAGACAGACAGACATATTTCAAACCACTTTCTATAAGCTTCACTATAACACTGAATTTTATTAGTATATTGTGTATAAAAATATACAAGAAATACAATATAGGTCCCAGAATTGAAGGAAGAATTCAACTATAACTTACTCCTTGACAATGAAGATATTCAACTGTCTTTGTTATTACATACAGCACATCACTAGCTTCCTGTTCTGAGAAACACTTTTTTTTGAGAATACGATCCAGTAGTTCTCCTCCTTTCATCAAATCCGTAACAAGGTAAACATATCTCCCATCATCAAAGACCTAAAAAAGAATGTGTTTTAAGGTTTTATTATTTGTAATCATTACTCCAAATTTTTAAAGTTATATTTACTTTGTTTTGTCAGGACAACTTTAGAATCAAAGCACATACAGCATTTCTTTCTTTTTGATATAGTAAGGTTGTATTGAAGAATGAAGTGGAAAAATCATCTCCTGTGTAGTTCTGGAAGATCATATCAAATATGAAGTTTTTGAAGTTGAAGGTTAGAGATTTCAACAAAACACATAAACAAGAGTAGAAATCCATGCTTCTTAAATAACATGTACATGCTATTTTAATTATATTACAAATACTTCTTCAAAAGTAATCATTTTTGTGATAATAGACATAGCACCTATTAGTTCTTTGACTAGTATGGCTAGAAACAATGTTGGATTCAAATAGTGCATTAAAAGAAATAGATAAGAAATAAAAATTTCTACTTCGTATGTTTATATATAATACAGATGAGTATATATATTTGAGATATATTTCTACTTAATATGTTTATATATTTGCATACACATACATTTAAACATACATGCACATACAAACTACTATTTAAATATGATAAATAAAACTATTATATTATCTAAAACAAACTGATCAAGATGATGTTTAATAGTTTAGTATATTCACAAAAATGAGTTTAAATTATAATATAAAAGTCATTATTCAGAGATACATCAATATGTGTGTTACAGGTTTTTTTTTTAAAAAACTGTAGACTAATACTATTTCATTCAAGAAAAGATCCATAATTTTACAGACAATTACTCTATAATCAAGAAAGTAAGTTTTCCAGAATAAATTTCCTTTACATTTATAGGGATGAGAAAAGTATTTCTAGTTGCAACATTACTGAGTTAACTATTTAGAATATAAATGGATTATTAGGATATTCTTTTGCCAACAATCATAGTTCTTTACTAAAATCTTTAAAAAGAGAATACATGTTTAGAATCACTGGAGAATAAAAGCAGCAATTTGAAATTTGGCATTTAAAGAATCACAGCTATAAAGTTCTAGTTCATAACTTTCTTAACTTAGTTGAAACTTAGATTTTAAAATACTTACATCCTTTAAAGTGATAATGTTGGGATGTTGTCCATAACGCATAAGAATGTCAATTTCTTCAGAAGGATCTCGTTTATTTTTATCAATGATCTAAGAAACAGACCACAGAAAATCTTAAAAACAGTTAAATGATTTTCTTTATCATGCAGAAAGAAATATTTTTCTATCTATCCAGCCATCCATCCATCCATCCATCCATCCATCCATCCATCCATCCATCCACCCACCCACCCACTCCTCAATCTTATCTATCTGTCTGTCTATCTAGAATTTTATTGTTATTGTTTTGAGATGTATTGTGCTATGTGGCCTAAGGTGTGCTAGAACTCATTATATAGCCCAGTCTGGCCTTGAACGTATGACAATTCCTGTACTCCCAACTGCCACCACGCCAACCTTCAATTGGGTTCTGTTATTCAAAAATACTTAGGAAATCAAGAACATCATTTTCTAATTGTTTCAACATTTAAAAATTCCATAGAATAGAAATGTAATATAAAAACTGAGCTAGATCAAGTATACCGCCTTTAACTAAGACACTAATAAATAATATTATGTACGTTCTATAGTTGCTCAATCTTAACATAGTATGCTACAGATTAGTCAGAAAACAAAAAGTAAGTAAATAATGCCATTTCTCCAAAATGAAACTTTTCAAAGAAATTAAAAATGAAAATATTAAATCACAAACTTTTTCTCATCATCTGATTTTCCCTCAATGTACCAGTAATATTGTATGAGCTAATCTGTAATACAAACTATGTAAATCAAACAATAAATTAGGCTCAGAAACAATACCTTTACTGCAAATTCCATGTTGGAACCTGAATGTATGCATCGCTTGCAAACAGAGTAAGAACCAACACCAATATCCTCTTTCAATTCATAGACTTCACTAAATTGAGCAGCATTTCCATTCATCTGTTTTGTTAAAACAAATTAAATACTAATGAAAATGAATTGCACATTTTCTTAATTTTTGTCCCAAACAATCTTAACATATCTTAAAAGTTAAAAAAATTCTAGAAATTTTACCAATATTTAAAAATTGTATATATAAATTCTGAAGTCACTCTATATTGTATGCTTTCTAAAATCCCAAGCAATGCGATGAATTGACTAGTTTAAAAATCACTCCAACATTTTCTTGCCAAAATGGACATATAAAAATATTAAAGGTAATTACTATCTGTACTTTCCCCAAACATACAGAAACACTTTTAACTGAATTACATTGAGAAAATGAAGTCATTAACTATGATCTTTCAATAACTATTAAACATCCATTATTAAGAAGTGAAAAAAATACTTAACCTGAAACTAAACATAGTGATGATCGTAAAGAATTTACCTGGACGACTGGTAATACATTTGCACTTGTAACAGGAGTGATTTTATATTCTTCTGCAATAGAAGTTGCAACAAAGCTGAATCCTTTGAAGAGCTGATGAGCATTTGCACTGGCTGGCAAACCAGGAGAATCTAACATTTAAACAGTTATATTTTACTAAAATTATATAGAACTTTATGACTACAGGATCAGCAAATTTATTTTTTTTAAAAAGGAAAAGAAACATTAAATATCACAGTCTAACACACAAGAAATATGACTCATACTTCCTCTCTACTTGTTTTAGACTGACATATTTTATATGGTCAATAATCTTTATTAATGGCTTCATCCTTACTACCAAAAACCACATAGTAGGGATTCAATATTTCTTGAACGAGCACATGAAACAGAAATCACTAAAAGTAAATTAGATCAGATTCTAAACTGATCCAGCGCACATCTCATGTTTTACTTCATACCATATTTAGAAAATTATTACCCTGGGAAGCTAAGAAGGAATTTACAAAGAAAAAAAAAGAAAAAAATTCTGCATTTTACCCTTCTTTACATTTCACTGATAAATATTTCCCAATTACAGATTGTAGCAATATGGTATATAAAATCTACATTTACACAAACACCAAACTAGTTTTGTACGAAGATGTTCTTTTTTTTTTTTTACTGAAACAGTTAATTTATGTAATAATTACTAGAACAAAAGCCTTTGCTATAAATAAGTATGTATTACCTTTAGGTGTTTTGGCAGTAAATTCAGGATCAAAACAAAAAGTATCATCTGGTTTTCCAGAAGCAGGTCGGAAAGGAGGCTGAACTTCTCTTTTATATAGTTTCTAGAGGCAATGCAGTAATGAAAAAAAACATTTAACATTTTAAAATATCATTAACACATGTTGGGCATTCCTAATACAACATCGAAAATTCAAATACTCTAATATTCACAACATTTTGAATGTTGAATGTTGATAGCATAAGTGGACAAGTTATAGCTAAAACAGACACACTAAAAATATGGTTATGAAATTATCTTTGAGTTGTATGAATAAGATATAGTAAATACAAGATAATTTCATAGGTTTTATTTTCAAATTCATTCACTTCCTTTTATATATATGCACACAGCTCACCAAAGCCAGCTGGACTGGGACTGATGGAGCATATGATCAAACCAGACTCTCTGAATGTGTCGGACAATGAGGGCTGATGAGAAGCCAAGGACAATGGCACTGGGTTTTGATCCTACTGCTTGTACTGGCTTTGTGGGAACCTAGTCTGTTTGGATGCTCCCCTTCCTAGAACTGATGGAGGGGGTGGACCTTGGACTTTCCACAGGGCAGGGAACCCTGACTGCTCTTTGGACTGGAGAGGGAGGGGAAGAGGATGGGGAGTATGGGGATGGGGGAGGGGGAAGGAAATGGGAGGAGGTGGACATTTTTAAGTAAAAATATATATTAAAAAAAACAGTCAGGTCCTCCCCTCTCCGTCCATTTCTAGGAAGGTGAACATCCAAACTGGCTAGGCTCCCACCAAGCCAGCACATTACGTAGGTTCAAAACCCTGTGCCATTGTCCTTGGCTTCTCATCAGCCCTCATTTTTCGCCATGCTCAGAGACTTACCACAGGGCAGGGAACCCTGACTGCTCTTTCGACAAGAGAGGGAGAGGGAGAGGAGTGGGGGGAGGGGGAGAGGGGTGGGGGGAGGGGGAGAAGGTTGGGAGGAGGGGGAGGGAAATGGGAGGCTGGGAGGAGGTGGAAACTTGTTTTTTTTTTCCTCCGTTTCTCAATAAAAAAATGGAAAAAAAACCAGTCAGATTATTTTCATGATTATTTCATCTAAAATAGTTTGTTTCCATATAAGATTAAATACATTCTTCTTAATATTCTAAGTTGCTAAACTGTGTATGTTTTAAAAACACACATGGGTAAACAGGATTGCAGCTGAACAAGATGCTCTGACAATCTGTGTCCAAAAACAACAAATGGAACAACCATTCACTTACTAAACCAGCTTCAACTGAGACAAGGAAATGAAGCTAGTGATCATATCGTCTTGTTTTAGTATTACAAAACAAAGACGCATTCAAGGAGAAAGGGCGGAAAGAAAACTACATGCTGTTTACAACAAATCCATTTCACCATTATAGAGTGAAAGTGAAGTGATGGAGTAAAACAGTCCAGATCAACTGAATTTAAACCAAAGTGTCAATGATTGTACAGCAGACAAAATAGAGCTGAGGTCATAAGTACTAAAAGCAAACAAGGTCTTTATGAGAAAGAGGTCAGGTCAGCAAAAGAAACTGATATATTTAAATGTACATGGTACCAAATATTAAACAAATGAATGAATAATAATGATCTAAAGAGAGACCAATGTTCACCTGGAACAAAAACCAGGAAGTTTATCACTTCAATCAACCAATAAAAACACAACCATGTTAAAATGTTCCCTATACCAAATGGACTAAACATATCTACCAAAAATTCCACCCACTAGCCTCTCGTAAATCCACTGAACATAGTCCAGTTAGACCATATAACAGGTCATAAAATAATTCTTAATGAATTTGGAAGCACGTAAATCACATCAAGTATCCTTTCATAATAGCAAATTAAAACAGGAATCACTAACAAAATGAATATTGGAAACTTTGTAAATACAAAGTTTTCAATCATCTTACACTTGAACAAATAATGGAATGAAGGGGGAAAACCAAGAATTTGGAAAATTTGAAACTAATGACAGAGACAAGTAACAAAAATAATACCTGTAATTTCTATACTTAAAAATCAAAGAATTACTATATTTCAAGGAACTAGAAGAGTGAGTTTTTCTAAGACAAGACTATCAGTCTGGGCATATAAATTAAAATATGAATAATTTAGCATAATTCCTCAATGTTTTTCTTTCATGTCATCCATAAGCATAAGTATCTATAGTACAGTGTTTTTTCTTGATTTAGCTTGTTCTAATGCAGAACAATGAACAATGTGAAATTAAAGAATATCTGGGTTTATTATTATTACCTATATTAGGATCTGTCATAGCCTCACTCATTTTTCCCTATCTCATCCTCTCCTCATCTAGAGTGGAAGTATAAATATTGATCATATTACAACAGTTACAACAAATGACAAAACAGAAATTACTATATCAGGACCTCTACCACTTCAAGGTATTGCCATGCTACGTGATAACTATAAACAAAAATATCAGACTTAATATAAAATACATGGGTTATGCGTATCTGCCAAATCTCTATATTACTAGATTCAAAAGAATCTTACTCATTTCAATATAAATTATTTAATAACAAACTTATATTCAACTTACATTCCAGTCAATAGATGCAAAAAAAGCATGTCTTTTGACTTCTTCAACTCCTTCTGATCCTGTAATATGGAAATAATTTTAATGCCATAATCTTTTAATCTTGCTACTTAGCTTCTATATTATTAGAAAAACCCATGACTGTATATTTTTCCTAGGATGCTTAGAGTAAAGTATCTATGATTTCTTGTCTGGTATTGTATTAACTTGTCCTTTATCTACTATTAATAAGAAAGAAAACCGATGCATATAGTGAATTGTATAAGTCAACAATGAAATACTAGGTACTATAACGCCTCCTAATAAATACAATTTCTGTTTAATATAATATTAAACTAAGTAATTGCCCTTCACAATTCATGTCTCATAGTCATACGCTATGTTAAAGTCTACAAAGGTGAAAACAGCACTGTACTTTTTAACACAAGGACATAGATAATAGGATCACATTAGGATCTAGGAAAAGGCAATATAACTTTGAAGTATACTAGGAGAGGCAAAGTAGTCATCATCAAACATTTAAAAGGATTATCAATACAAAGTAAACTGCATTTTTTTTGAAAGGCAGCTCATATGATGTACATGATTTCTGTTAACTAGACTATTTCATGTCTATTAATTTTGCTGATTAATCATAAACAAAATTTTTATTTGATATAAACTACTAAAAGTCCACAATTCAAATGTAAATATACAGTAATCATAAATGAACTTAAACTAAAACATAAAGATACAGTTTCTTGGCTATTATATGTAGTACATTGTTATCAAGGTTAAAGAAGATTAATAATACCCAATCTATTTGCTGGATTCCTTTTGAATAACATCCTCAAAAGACTTTGTGCTTCAGCACTAAGAAATTGAGGCATTCCAAGTTTTGCTCTGAAAAACATTGCAGAAAATTTCACTTAAATCTAGACACAGTAGTAAGTCAATAAATCTCAAAGTGAATTTTAAAAATTTTAATGAGTCCCCAATATGTTAGAATGAGAGAAAAAGACAAAAATAGTTTAAGTCTGTTGAAAACCACATTAAGATTTTAATAATAGAGGCAAGAATATTTCCACAAATAAAATAGTGTTTCTACTTACTTCAGTATCATATTCATGGTCTCATTTCTATCTTTACCTTGAAACGGCAAAGTGCCAGTAAGCATTTCAAACTAGAAAATAAAATAATCACAATTTATTACAACTTAGAATATATAATTACATTTGTTTTTAAAACCAAGACTTATAGTACATGACTATTAAATCATGCAAATTTCAGTTGACAGTGACTCAAAACACAATCAGAAATGGGGTAATAGCCAGAACCTGGAAACAACCTAGATGCCCCTCAACTGATAAAGAAAATGTGGCACATTTACACATTAGAGTACTACTCAGTACTACTCATGCAAAATCTTGAATTTTGCATGCAAATGGATAGAATTAGAAAACACTATCCTGAATGGGATAACCCAGACCCAAAAATATGAATATAGTATATACTCACTCATGAGTGGGTACTAGCTATAAACAAAAAAATACTGAGCCTATAGTTCATGATTCTAGGGAAGCTAAGTAATAAGGTAAACCCTAAGAAAAGCATATATAGATCCTCCTGGAAAGTCGAAACAGACAAGACTGCCTGACAAATTTAAGAGCACGGGGGTCAGGGAAGAAGGGAGGGTGGAAAGTAAAAGGAGGCGAGAAGGGTAGGGGTAAGGAGAACATGAGGGAATGGGATAGTTGAGAAGGAGAAAGAACAGAGATGAGTGCAAGGAAAGAGATATCTTGATTGAGGGAGCCATTATCAGATTAGCAAGAAACCTGGCTCTAGAGAAATGCCCAGGAATCCACAAGGATGACCCCGGCTAAGACCCTAAGCAATAGAGGAGAGAGGGCCACATCTTGACTTGACCTGTAGTCATACTGATGAATAACTTAAATATCACTATTTAATATTTAAATATCTTCATTCAGCAACTGATAGAAACAGAGGCAGAGACCCACATCGGAGCACTGGACTGAGCTCCTAAAATCCAGTTGAAGAGTGGGAGGAATGAGAATATGCGCAAAGAGGTCAAGACCATGATGGGGACACCCACTTAAACAGTCTACCTGAGCTGATGGAAGCTCACGAACTCCACCAGACTGGGAAGGAGCAAGCATAGGACCAAACTAGTCCCTCTGAATGTGGGTGACAGTTGTATGGCTGGGACAGACTGTGTGTGGGGCCACTGGCAGTGGCACCAGGATTTATCCCTACAGCTTGTACTATTCTCTTTGGATGGATACCTTGCTCAGCCTTGCTATAGTAGGAAGGGCCTTGGACCTTTCCCAAAGCAAAATCTCTTACCCTCTCTGAGGAATGGATGGGGGTCCAGTAGGGGGTATGTGGAGGGAATGGGAGGAGGGGAGGGAGTGGGAACTTGGATTGGTACATATAATGAAAAAAGTAGTTTGTTTTTTTTTTTTTTTTAAATATTCAAAGTAGGGGCAAAAAAATCCTAATTCTATCTGCACCAAAGGAAAAATGAAAGTCAATTTTGCAACAATCCTTCTTGTTAAAGGAAAAAAAAATATTAAGCTGTTTTATTTATTTTTTTTTATTTTTAAGCTGTTTTATAAACAAAGATGTAAGTTTACGTAAATAACAATAATGGGAAAATAAAACTATGTGTCAAAGCATCTGGGACTTATTCATGCCAAGAAAAAAATTTAAAAATTAACCATTCTAAATTCCTTTTAATCTCAAACAAAAATATAGAAATTAAAAAACTGAATTCCAAAATTGGAGGTAAGATCAAAGGTATTGGTATATTCCTATAATATCATTTATTTTAGAGTATGAAGCCAAAGAATTACATGTTCAATGCCTTCCTCAACTACTACACAGTTAGTTCAAAGCCATCCTGGTTACCTTTAAAGGGCCTTACCTCTAATTTTTTTAAAGGTCTTGGGACACAGGTCAGTGGTAAAGCACTTGATGGCATGTGCAAGACCTTGGGATTAAATCCAGTACCCCCAAATTAAGTAGAACGTAAGAGACACATACACACATACGCCTGTGTGAAATAATACATTTATAAAAGAAAAAATGAAGACATTTGGACACAGAATAAAGAAAATATTTTACTATGGAGATCCAACTAAGAATTAACATAAAATAATATGTACAATTATTTTTTAAAGTCTAAGTGCGAGAATTCTGTTTTATGGTAGAACACTTGACTAGACTGAAGAGGGTTCTAAGGTTTAATTAAATCTTTAGTACAGAAACAAAACAAACAGACAAAAAGGGAAAAAGAAAGAAAGGGAGGGAGGGAGGGAGAGAAGGAAGGAGGGACAAAGTCCTAAACTAAAGATCTTACTAGTTCATTAAAGAACTTTATAAGAAGCTGGGGAAATAGTTTAGTGGGAAAAGTGTCTGCCACAAAGTTTGGATATGACAGGCATGCATCCTTAAGCTCAGTACTGTGAGAAGAGAAACAAGTGGACCTCTAGTTATACCTCTGGAGCTTGCTAGTCAGTCTAGTTAAACTGATGAGATTCAGGTCCAATAATAAAGTGAAGTTCAACTGAGGAAGATATTTTGTCAACTTCTAGTTTGTCCCCCACCACAGACACACAAACAAGCTCATGGATGTACATACAAGATTATAGAACTAATAATTATATTGCAAACTAAAATTGACTAATGGCTTTGGCATCTGTCCTCTGTTCATGTAAGCTGAACTCATAACCTTAGTTGCTTTATACATTAATCTCTCTTGTACCATGGCAACAACAAATCAGCTGCTGCAAACTCATTCTCGATCAGGCACTACTTTTCTCACCAAAATCTATAGCAATATGATGGTAGACAGACAAAAAGGGAGAGATTGCATCTAAGAATCCTACATTCTCACAAACTGTTGGATAGCATCCCCCTCTCATTGTGATATAATCTTTTCATAAAGTTGCCAAATGATTCCTTTTTTTCTTCAGTGTCCCTTTTTACACACAGTTAACCTGTGCTACATGTGGATGCATTATTTCCCTACCAGTTGCCAGTAGGTATTTCTACCAATATAGCTTTCTTACCAATCTACTATACTTTCACACCCCTAAATTCAGATATTGGAAAGGGACCTTTACCTTTGGATCATCTCCTCCATCTTACCTGTGTCATTTAATCAGCTACTAAGACTAGTCAAATGCTATCTGAAATGCCTTTAAAATTTCCTTTTTTTGTGAACTCTAATCTTATGACAATTTTGAAAGATTTTATTTTCCTGTTCCTAAGGATTTTTTCCCTCCCATCTCCAATCTACTTATATAATGCCAAGGTTAATCTTCCTAAAAATCTAACTTTCCTTCACCATCCTGACTCAAACTCTAACAGTTTGCATATAGCAAAAGCATCGCGTGAAGGTTTATGGGTTTACAGCTGCACTTTCACCCTTCCTGACTTCTCTAGCCAAACTGGCTTCCCAAAGACTTGCTAATACAATCACAATAATTAGCTTTTCTTAACATGCAGCTATTAAATTTTATTTATACTTCAGCAATTAAGTTCCATCTCTCTCATCTATACTAAATTTAAATGAAATCTTCCTCAAACTTTAGGATACTTCTGGAGAGTTTCCTTAGTTACTTGAATTGTTTCTCCAGCAGATTTTATGTGTTCTTTAATCAGGAAAAATGTTGTAATTTAATTATTTTTTATGTACTACCTTCCCCAAATGCCTGCTTTTAACAGATATTTAGTATATGGTAGTGTCATGTACTCTATACATTACATGATAAATGGGAAAATGGACAATTAGACTTCAAAAGAAAATGGACATGATTCAATAGCCAACTATCACCTGTATTTAGAATTTATATAAATACCACTCTATTAGTTACTGAGTGAGATAAAAATATAGTAGGAATATATCTGCCAGTAATTATAGGACAGGTGTGAAACAATTGGACAAATAAGATGAAGATGATAAATTCTGTGATACATAATAAAATAGTATATAAAAATTAGTAAGGTCCAGAATCATCTAGACCTTTTCTAAATTTCAGATACAGTTTATATAAAAAAAATCTTGCCATTTACTTTTTCAATAGGAACATTAAAAGGAAAACATTAAAACCTTAGCCCTTATTGTTTACCGATCACAATGTTGCAAACATTAGTCATGAATTATCAGAAGAAAACTTTTCTGAACTGACCCAAAAGTTAAACTAAAACCCTAAATAGTATTAAGCATATATTGAGATAACTAAGGAAAATAATACAACTTACCATAAGTACACCATATGACCACCAATCAGCACTCTGAGAATGGCCTCGTCTGTTTACTACTTCAGGAGCCATATATTCGATAGTGCCACAAAATGAGTATGCCTTCTTTTCTTGATCCACTGACTCTTTGCTAAGCCCAAAATCTGTGCATTATCACAAATAGAGGTTGAAAAATCTCAAGAAATACGAAATACCAAAAACCAAAATAATGAATTAAATATTCAAACATTTTACTTTGGCCTAAATTACTCTTGAAAAAGATAATTTGAAACAACAAAATTCAGTCAATATTTAATGTTGAAGCTCTTTAAGAGCATTTAAAGATTGCTGAGGCAAATACACTTTGTCAGGACTATAATCTTCAGGGATAAAAAAAAATAGCAAAAGTTGTCACATTATCCTAAGTATAAAGTGATGTAGTAATTTATACCTTAAAAATATTACAAAAGCACAGCATGCATGGACAAAAATGGATTTGTATTTAAAGCCTTCAGAGAACCAATTGTATCAATATAAACTCAATATTTTCTATAAAAGTAACAGAAAAATAGAAATTTAAATTTAAAAGGAGTATTATAGTACCACTAAACACTTTGCAAATAGCTTTTCAGCATACATAAGACATAAGATAATTATACTGAAAACTAGAAACGTTGATGAAAGAAATAAGCCATTCTAAGTACATGGAAAGATATAGTGTATTTATACACTGGTGATTCAATATTGTTAATTTGTTATTTCTTCTAAAGCATACTCAGAGAATCAATGAAATGTCAATAAATTTCTAATAAGCTTTCTTTGGGAGAAATCAACAACCTGAATCTAAAACATATGTGAAAGAACATGAAAACAATACTGTAAATAAGGTTTGAAAAATATAAAAAAACTGAATTATCTTATACTAAGTTAAATATGTACTAGACAGATATAATAATAAACACAGTCAAATATAGAAGAAAGCTGGGCACATATATACACTTTCAATGGAATAATGTTTAAACTGATATACTGAAAGATATTTAGTTCTGCTATAATCTTGTTTCAAAATACAAATCAATTTCAATGCAATTTGTATATCAGAAAATAACTTGAGCAAAACGTGGACTTGAAGACTAGTAGAATACAGAAAGTACAAACATCTGCCAGCTACCTCAGCTTATGTTTGTAATGAATCACTTCTGTCTACCTAGTCCAACAGTGTTCCTTTCCAATTCAGATAATACAGTTCCCACCAGTTCTTTATTATAACTCACAACTGAAATGTTTCTGATATCTATACCTACAAGCAAACTTTAGGCATTTCTCTAAGGGAAGGCACAATGTACACTGCAGTCATTAAGTACTCAATTATATATATGAACACGTAAAACAGTTTTTACATTTACTGTCTACATTTTTTAAATCATGTGGCTCTGAGTAAATACTGTAGTGGTGGCTTTTGTTTATCTCTTAAGTCCTGTAGGTATTTTTTTAGGCTAAGTTAAGATTTTATTTTTAAATTTGCATAAAATATGATTTACAGTTTGGTGCACGGGTCCACAGGTTTAACATACCATATACTTTTGTAATCATTAACAAAATCAGATATAAAACAATTCTCAGAAAACATGTCATGCTATCTCTTGTCTGTGTTTCTTCACTCCTCACAATCCCTGGGAATCACCAACCTAGGTCCCAAACTTATAGTTTTGCTCTTCCAGTGTGTTATGTGATTTTATAGAATGAAATGATAAGGGTCACACACACCTATTATATAACAAAATTGGCTTGATTTCTGGTGGAAATGAAAAGGAATTCCATTAAAGAAGAAAAGCTATTTAAACAAACAGTGCTAAAACAAATTTTTATGTAAGTATAAAAAACACAATATACTCATACCATGACCAAATATTAACTGAAAATGTACCACAGAATTAAATACAAAAGTTAAAACTACAAAAAGAAAATAGGGAGTAAAATCTTTTTGATTCTGTACTAGACAAAAATTTCTTGGGTATGACATCAAAAGTATAAACCATAGAAGAAGAAAGATTTAGTGCATACAGTATCATCAAAATAAAAAAAAATGTACTTAAAAGGTAATTGTGGAGATATATGCAATTAGTAGCTGCTAACAGAGGGGAAGGTTTTCTCTAAAAGTGTAGCCCTTGGAAGGTTGACAACTGTCCAGTGGAAAACCACACATCCAAGAACATTTGGGCAGCAGAAATTAGCCATTTTTAACAATTTTTTAAAAAGGGGAGGGCAAAAAATTTGAGTTTATAGGTATAGGTACATGGATCTGAAAAAAGTGGGGAGAGAAGGGTGAATATGATAAAAAAACTATATCAAACTCTCAAAGAACAAATAATTTTAAAAGATACAATAATAAAATAAAAAAAATCTAGACAAAAAATTGCATACTGCATTATCTACTGCTTTGTCTTCGAAACGTTAAAAAAATCAAAAGTTAGCAAAAAAATTCAGCTTTTACAAATGGTCAAAAGATCTGAACAAACATTTTTATAAAGACAAATATATATAAAAAATGACATGTTGAGACACATGCCTATTAGAATAACTAAAGTAACTATTACACATTCAATAGGTTTGGGAAATTTACAACCACTTTGGTAAAGAATCTCTAAGTTTCTCATTAAATATAAACTTACCATAGTAATAAGTAATGATATTCTTAGCAATTTACTCAAATAAATTAGGTTCATATGAAAAACTGTTCATTAATATTTACTACAACTTTATTCATAATTACTCAAAGTATGAAACAAGTGTCCTCAAAAGGAAAACACCAAGGCAACATCATAAAATCTAGTTTTAAAACACTAGTAAGTAATTTTAAAGAAAACAAACCACTGAACAACTAACAGTAGGGATGACTTTGATGTGCACTGCCCTCCGACAAATAAAGCTAGAGTTAAAAGGCTTTCTACTGTATATGCATGTTTATATTACATGGAGAAAATGAAAACTCTAAGAATAAGAAATAGGTCAGGGATAGCTAAAAGTTTAGAAAGACAATAGTGGAATTTTGAGGATCTTTAGAATTATTGTTTTAGTAGTAGTCTCCAAGAATTACAATATACATTTGTTATTCTATACATTTCTCATCACTCACTTTATATATATCACCACTGGATTGTATTTGAACACTGATATAATCAAGATAACCCATAACATCTAGCAACTAGAGTTGTATCCTAAACACCCTCGGCGCCCCACCTATTCATCCGTATCTTCTACTCCCTCCCTCCCTCTCTGGAAAACATTCATCTTGCTATCTCCAAAAGCTCTGCTTCACTAGTGTGCCATGTTGGATTCATGCTGTGTTACCTTTTTACCGTGGGTTCTTTAATTTAGCAACAGGTGTTTGATGTTCCTCCATGCATTGTAATCACTTCATATTGAATTTCTTTTTAAAATTTTATTTCGTTTAAATTTTTAATTGACATAAAATATTTATTGACAGGTTATGGTATTAAATTGGATAGCATGTAGTAAAGCAATTATTAAATTACTGCAATTAGCATTTTCAATTTCTCAATTTTTTTATGTATTAAGAATCTTATAAATCTTTAGTAGATATTTTGAAATGTATACTTAGTTGAATGCTATAGGAAATTAAGATTACTTTATACTGACTAAAAAAAGGAAATTAAAATAAGGATCTATCACCATAAGGATTACAACAATGAGTTTTACTATATACACATTACTCAAAATTTCCAAAATGAAAAAAATATAAGCCCATGTTATTCTCTTCAGTTAATTAATTCAGGCACTCTAAGAATGATTTCTAAACCACATTTAATATTTTCAAAATTTAGAAAATCACTTGTTTAAGTTTGTGTTATGACTTTATAATTTTTAATCTTATTATACTATATCCATTCTCTTTATTTAAGACATTTATACCCAGTCAGTGGTGGCGCACACCTATAATCTCAGCACTCAGGAGGCAGAGGCAGGTGGATCTCTGTTGAGTTCCAGAAGAGCTTAGTCTACAAAACCAGTTCCAGGACTAGCTCCAAAGCTACAGAGAAATCCTGTCTTGGAAAAACCAAAACCAAAACAAAACAAAAAAACATTTCTAGTATTACATTAAGAAAATAAAATGTAATAAAAGCACTTAGAAGACAAACGCAGGAACACTAGAAGTTTCTGTCTCAAAACATACACACACACACACACACACACACACACACACACACACATATATATATATATATATATATATTAAGATATATTTGAAGTAGAGGCTAGAGAGATGACTCAGTGGTTAACAGCACTGGCTGTTCTTACAGTGGACCCCTGGGTTCAATTCCCAGCATCCACATGGCAGCTCATAACTGTCTGTAACTCCAGGAATTCCAACATCCTTTCAGACACACATGCAGGCAAACCACCAATGTACATAAAATTAAAAATTAAAAAAGATATATTTGAAGTATTTAGAGGTATATAATCTCATGTTGACATGTTTACTTCAGGCTATAAAAAAAGCTTGATTATTTTTACATTGATACATTATATTCCATAATTTAGAGCAACTTTAACTATTATTAATTCAAATTTCTTTATGTAAAATACATCTTCATTTTCTTGGTTATAGCTTTCCAAAACTTAAATACAGAACTTACTATGTACTGAAAACATATGTAACTTCTTGAGCTTAACTCACTCAATATAATGTCTTTGTCATTTACCTAAATTATTGGGAAATCAATGTTTCCATCCTTTAATTTCTCAGTAGCCCATCACATGGAAATAACACATAGCTTGTTTATTCACTAACCGTTTCAAGACAGTAAGGTCACTTCCAGTCTTGAGGTATTGTAAACGGGTGTGCTGAGAGACGCAAATATTGAATGGTCCCACAAAACTGGGTTATATAATTCATAGAGATATAGAACAGAAAACTGACTCCAAAGTTAGAGAAAGGTAGAAGGAGTTTATTACTATTTTTTCAGATGTGATAACTACTCAGCTAAATAATCTTAATTAGTACTGTGCCTCTATTGTAGAATTTAAATGTACGCAGAGTACACTGAAACTATGTAACCTTTAAATGAATCTTAATACACTCAAAACATAAAATGCAACTCAAATGAACACCAAAAAAGATTAGAAAAACATGTACTAGAATGATGAAAAATAATTAAATAATAGGCTTATTAGTATATAAGAAAATTTATATACCTGTTAACTTGATATGTCCTATTTCATCAAGCAAGATGCTGTAAATAAAAATCCATATTAAATATGGTGGAAATATATGAAGGTCATAAATATAAAATTGGTCACTATTTTCACATTCAGCATTTTGAAATGAAAAACATAAATGTCATAAATATAAAATTAGTCATTTTTTGATATATTGGGAAATTTTCAATTAGTATTTTAAAAACAAAATGTATTATGAAGATTATTTTGTACAAGTTAATTTTATGTAACTGCATCAACCATCAAAAATTCATATGGAGATAGAGACAGAGACTGAGTTCCCAAGGTCCCAATGAGGAGCAGAAGGAGGGAGAACATGAGCAAAGAAGTTGGGACCACGAGGGGTGCACCCACCCACTGAGACAGTGGAGCTGATCTATTGGGAGCTCACCAAGGCCAGCTGGACTGTGACTGAAAAAGCATGGGATAAAACTGGACTCTCTGAGCATGGCCAACAATGAGGGCTGATGAGAAGCCAAGGACAATGGCAGGGGGTTTTGATCCTACCTAATGTGCTTGCTTTGTGGGAGCCTAGCCAGTTTGGATGTTCACCTTCCTAGAAATGGACAGAGAGGGGAGGACCTAGGACTTACCACAGGGCAGGGAACCCTGACTGCTCTTTGGACTGGAGAGGGAGAGGGAGAGGAGTGGGGGGAGGGGGAGAAGCGTGGGAGGAGGGGGAGAAGGGTGGGAGGAGGGGGAGGGAAATGGGAGGCTGGGAGGAGGTGGAAACTTGTTTTTTTTTCTCCTTTTCTCAATAAAAAAATGGAAAAAAATTCATAATTCAAAAAAGCTTAATGAAATACCAAAATATATTTACATTCAAAAATATAAATAAATATGAATAAAGGGTGGAGAGACAGGAAGGCTTAGTAGATAAAGGCAATTGCCACCAAGATTGACAAACTGATATTTGGCACCCACATTGTAGAAGGAGAGTAAAGAAATCCCCCGGGTTGTCCTCTTACCTCCACACACACGCCACAGCATACATATGGATGCAATCACACATACAAACACATATAATAAGTCAATGTAATAAAAAAAACCTTAAAAAGCAATATAGATAACATGGATACAAATGGATAATATAATTTTACTTCTCTGGTTTCAGGTCTCTATACACAATTCCTAATTGATGCAGATGATCCAAAGCCAGGGCCAATTCGGCAAGGTAGAATTTTACATCTTCCTCTGTAAAAAGAACCTAAAATAAAATAATAAATCATCATTTGATCTTTCTTCTTATATTATGTACTTTTTAATTTACTTCTTTAACACCAGTAGACAGAAAAATCTAGGCAAATAATGAGAAAATAAGTGTAGTTAAATATTACTTGATTGGCACAGTCATTAAGTAAACCAGAGATGTTTTTCAGATACTTGATGTTTGTGTCTTTAAAATTCTTCTCTTTAAAAAAAATAGCAATTTAAGTATAATTCTTTCAGAAACACATGCTGTTTATACATCATCTTACATTAAATGTTCTTCAAAAAATTTAGGCTTTTTATGAGTCGTATAAAATCAATATTAATTTTGGTAAACTGAATTGGCATAGTGGCTGTGCTCACTCATAGTAATTAAATTATTAGGGATATTTTGTTTTAACACTCATACTTCCATTTTTATAATTTCTCTTTTGCCACCTATTATTACTTCTCAGTAATTTCACATGTAGCTCCACTAATTCTAAGCTTCTAAATTTATCACTGTAAGTTGTTAAATTAATAATCCTTCCATGCTCACATCTGATCTAAAAGGGATCCATCCACCTGTAAGCAAAGTTTATGAATTTAATGACAGTTGATTTTTCAACCTTTGTGTGTTTATGTTGGAGAATAAAGATGTTAAGACAAATTGAAAAGCATATGAAACTTGAAGTCAGAATTAGAGGTTTAAAATCAGATTATGTCATTTAATACTCTGAACCTGAGTTTTTAATTTTTCAAAAAATAAAAATATTTACTACATTTAACTAAAAACACTGCTATAAGAATCAGACTCATTTAAATGTACCTAAATACGAAACTATATGGTTTTATTAGTACTGGCATATGAGAGTTGAGTATGTAATCTATACACACATTGGTAACTACTCAACCACTACACCACTACATATAATTTTAGAGCTATCAAGGATTTTCAGATCAGGCAAAATACTGTTTTCTAGTAATATGATATTTTCATTCAAGAAATCTGGCATATTTGGAAGGATCAAGTTTGAATAAAATACCACATGGCTAAAATCAACTTTCCCATTTAGATTATAGTTACTGTATTTCACAATGCAGATTCAGGCTACTAGTAAAACAAGAAAATGAAGAGTTAATATTAGTCATTGTCTAAGTTTCAGGAACATTTCTTTGAATGTTCCAATGGTGAAGTATGTGAACATCATTTAAAACTTTTTATTGAGTATTAAGTACTTGTTACTCATTTAACTTCTGTGGTCGAACAATCAAATGTTCACTGAAACCTAATACATGACAAATCTCTAAATACCGTTCATAATTTCAAGGAAGAAAGACTGTCTTGGCTAGTTATACTTTATATCATATACATAATCTTATCTTAATGTTGTCTTGGTAGAAAGACTCATGACAGAAATAATAAACTTGCTAAAAGGCAATTATGCACTAGACACAATTAATTATGTGCCAGCACTACATATTCTTTCTGTTATCACAGTCTTCCAATATAATGTACTATTATCAATATCTTACAGAAGTGAACAATGAGACTCAGAGTGACTAAGTAACTTGCCCAAAGTAACTACTAAGCAGGAAGCATAAAATCTGAATTCAGAAATACTAGAACCTAAAAGTGACTTTTTACCCAGAAGCCACTTCTATCTCCCTTATAGTGTGTATTTTCCCCTATGTTTCAGTTCACAACCAATAATGCTTTCATATTTGTTTATTATCATACTCATAAAACTCCCTTCAAAAGTGAAAGTCCTCTTAGACTCCAGTCCAAGGAAAAGCATTTTTAACCTGTGGTTTGTTAATTTGTGTATGAGACTGTGTATATTAAGATACTTGAATCCTTACTACATGTATTAGCTATCTCCTTTACTCCCACTTAGTATTTATTATATCATAAGCATACTCCCATACATTTCAAACTTTTAAATAAAAGTTATTAAATAAATGCATATTAATCATGTCAATTCACCATGATTTACCTAAATGTTCTCATTCTTATCAATGAGACTACTTCCAAAATTCACACCTATGAATATCATAATATGTTATATTATAAATATATGTTCTTAAAATGCATACTTCTTTGTATTTCACCAGAATGGTTTGTTAAGTAATAAAACAGTAAATACTAGAAATATAGTCTGGATTCATGACTTATACAATAACATTACTTTCCAATAAGGTTACAATAGTTTCCATGCCCATCAGCAATTTTTTGAATATATTAGCCTTACTACACCTATAACAGAACCAAATTATCTTTTAATGAAATTTTTAATTTAATATACAAAAGAGTATTAAATTGATTTGATTTAAATTTACTCATAGAGCAAACAGTTTTTCATGTCCTGTGGCCTTTCTAGTTTTCAGACTACAAGAAATTTATTGTCTATTTTCCATTATTAGCCCACTATTTTGTTCAGTTGGTATAAGGCCTTCAAGTATGAAAACCTCATGTCTTACAAATGTTTTTAAAATAAGTGTTGTTTTTGATTAATAGTTCCTAATTTTATATAGCCAAATGTATTTTATGTTTGGTTTCCTCTTTGTTATTTTAAAGCTTACCATATGTCCATTCATTGCTTAACTAAATACTTGCATTTTCTTTTAGGATACAGTGATTAATTTTAAGATATAGTTAAATCATAAAATTTATTTAGTGTGCAATCCAGGTGGTGTTTTACTTTAGTTTTGAAATATCTAAACAAATTCTCATATACTGTTTTGTTGAATAATCAACCTTTTTATCATAATATATGACTCATTCTTTACTCATTAATTGTATGTTAAATGATCTATTGTAAGATTCGTGTGTTATATAATATGTTCCTGATCCTGTGTTAAAACTATCATATCCTCGAAAAACCAAAAAAGAAAAAAGAAAAAAAAAACTATCATATCTACAGGTATAGTGGAGCACATCTGTAATCCTAGTACTTACAAGGTGCAGTATGAAAGAGTCTGTGTTCAAGGCCAGTTGGCTCTCTCAGCTAGACTCTCTCAAAAGTCAAAGGAAAGCTGGGCGGTGGTGGCGCACGCCTGATGTGGGAGTGTCATATATCAATCTGTTGATTTCATTGGTTAAGTAATAAACAAACTGCTTGGGTTCATAGCTTAGAACATAGGTGGGTGGAGTAAACAGAAGAGAATGCTGGGAGAAAAAGGAAGTGAGGTAAGACGCCTCAGGCAGAGACACCATGCCCCGCTCCCGGGCAGACACACGTGATGAAGCTCCGACCCAGGATGGATGTAGGCTAGAATCTTCCCGGTAAGAACGGTGCTCACAGATTATTAGAGATGGGTTGATCGGGATATCAGAATTAGCCAGTAAGGGCTAGAGCTAAAGGGCCAAGCAGTGTTTAAATGAATACAGTTTGTGTGTTGTTATTTCGGGGCATAAGCTAGCTGAGCAGGCAGCTGGGGTGCTGGGGGTGCAGCCCCGCCGCTCCTATTACTACACACGCCTTTAATCCCAGCACTCCAGACACGAATCAGCTCCGACCCAGGATGAACATAGGCTAGAATCTTCCCGGTAAGCACACCTTGGGGTGCTACACACATGACTGGAAATGGGCTAGTCCAGGTGCGAGAATTAGCCTAGAAGAGGCTAGATAGAAATGGGCCAAGCAGTGTTTAAAAGAATACAGTGTCCATGTAATTATTTCGAGGCATAAGCTAGCAGGCAGCCGGGGTGCAGGGGACGCAGCCCCGCCGCTCATATTACAACAGAATGGCAGAGGCAGGCGGATCTCTGTGAGTTCAAGACCAGCCTGGTCTACTGGTCTACAGAGCTAGTTCCAGGACAGGCTCCAAAGCCACAGAGAAACCCTGTCTCGGAAAAAAAAAAAAAAAGTCAAACGAGCAGGAAGAAAATTTTAAGAAAGTTTATATCAAATGACTTTTTTTGGCATTTGTTTACTTCTTTAGATAAACTGTAAAACAATGCTGCAAATTTTAAAAACACACGAATTTCTATTTTGACTCTGTCTAAAATTTTATTAAACTGATAAATGAATTTTGAACATACTCTTAGTTTTACAATAATAAATACAAGATATTTTCTAGATATTAGCAAAAGAGAAAGATATGGCTTAAAATTTTATGCATTTATGTATATATGTGTCTGTGTACATTTTCAGGGACAGAAATTTGGGGAGGTATATTTTTCTTTTAAAATGTAAGGAACGAACATTATCAAATTTCTTAATACATACTAAAATAAAATTTAAAATTCTGTGTCTAAGGCACAAATACTTCTTCAGTTTGGGTTGCTCAATTTTTTTTATTCACAAGGGAAATATAACCAACCGTCAACTACTTACAATAAGCTGCCTATAGAAGTCATCACTGAATCAGTTTTTTAAAGTCTCTTCAATGAATAAAATAATTTATTGTCTTTTGGGAAATGTATTTAAAATGCTTGCTCTTACCTAATATTCCAAACTTAGGAATCAAAACTTACTGACTGCATCTCTGTGCTAGTGTGAGTTTAGATAGTCCCACATCGAGAATGAAGGTCTGAAGAGTTTAAAAGAAAATCAGAAATGACTACAGGCAAGAATTTTTCAAAGACATTTGTGACACTTCTATAATCTAACAAAAATAATAAATGCTGGAGCCTTGATATACCATTGTCCTTCTACCATTTCTTTAAAGATTTTTCCTTGGAAGAGGGTCACAGACAGACCATATTACATACTAAATTCTGTCCTTGACTACAAAATATATGGTCACATATGCCAAGTTCTACACTGAAGAAAGATACAAGCCAGAGGACTCAGGCATCTAAGTGCTGACTAGCATCCCGTAAGTACAGATTTCGTTTATCACAAGTTCCAGAGCTCTCCTACATCATAAATTCTATAACTTAAATGTTGAACTACAATCATCCAATTAAAACTCTTCTACCAGACTACCATTTCAAGATAAAATGAAATGGACAAGGGCAAAACCTATTTTCCTACCTGAAACAGCCACAACACAGAACAAAATATATGAAAT